TTCATTTATTTTATTATAACCATGACATTTTATTTTACTGAAATGAATGGTTATATCAAGAACATGAGGTTTCAGTTTTCATCTTTTTTTAATTTTCTGTTTTTGTGAATTATTTTATATTTTTTATTTCAACTGTATTGAATTTTTTGTTCTCTTTTTTCATTTTTATGTGATTAAATATTTTTGTACAGCATTTATTTATTAATTTATTTAAAGTTGAAATGTGTAATCTCTACCAATTGTAAAAAAAAAAATAAAAAAAATATAAAAATTTTTTTTCAATCTGTGTTTTCAAACATCTTTACCAGATATTCCTACTAAACCTTACACACATTCAAAGACATCAAGCACAATAATATATATCTGCAATAATATGGCATAATCCATAAATCCCTTTGCAGGCTAAGCAAAAATAAATAATGATTTTTACCAGTATACACAATGCAGATTCATGAATGCAAGACCATACATGCATACATACAAATAAACAAACAAATGAATAAATAAAACAAAAAAATTAAATCACAGCCCTTTACTCATACAGTGTATTGTGCATGATGAATGGGTTCTCGTAAATGAGTCTGGTGTAGATTTGATCTGAATTTCCAATCTAATAATCTGCACTAATCCAATGTTGCAACCTGCCTCTATTTCCTGTATGAAGAATCTATGCATACATCTAGAAATGAGTCAGTCTTTTCAGGAACATTAATTTCGAGAGTGAAATTCAGTCTTGCTTGGAAAAAGAATCAAGTCCTACTTCAATAACAGCAGAGCATACACAGTCTCATCATCTAACAGCTGTTATGGAAAGACAGAAGGATAAAAGGTCATTGATGGTCAGTCAGTGACGGTGTTTTGTGTGTTCTGTCAAGCTGGAAATACCTCCTCTGGTTAAATCCAGCTCACTGTGAAGAAAGAAAACAGTACAATGCTACACAAACACACTGTTTAATACCCAAGTCGCATGTGTACTAACATAATTCTGTATATAATAGGCAGAATTGAAAACATGAGAAGCCCTGGTTAAACCATTGCTATGAGACACAAAAGAGGAAACGAGAAGAAAACAGGATGAGAGTGAGGAAAAGCATTTGTGTGAAGTGTTAAATGGCAAAACAGATTAAGCTGAAAGTCTATATACTCATATTCCCCTTAAAAGACAAGTACTATGGGAGTACCATAGTAAAGTGCAGGCTATGGACCCCGGATAAATATGTTTAAAATATTATTGGGAAATTATTTGGTTTCTATTACATTGCGTTGTTATGTTTTTATACTCACTATAATACTGCATTGTTCAATGTATTATTTATTCAAATAAATTATTTACTTATTTATTTAGTATCTTATTTTTAATAGTTTATTTAGTATCCCATTTTTTATGATTTATTTATATATTTTTACACTGTTTTTCTCTACATTTTTTCCACAAGACCATGGTGGAGTGAACGATTCACCAAATCACTCATGAAGACAGCTACTTGTTTCATCCCTGAATGAATCAGTGTTTTAAACAAATCAGTTGAGTGAATGACTCAACAACTCATTTATGACAAAAAGCTCACTTCTTTCATTCCTGGATGAATCAGTGTTTTTGAATGAATCGATAGAGTGGATAATTCAATAACTCATTTATAAAGGAATTCACTTGTTTCGCTCCTAAATGAATCAATCAAATCAGATGATTACATGATTCAATGCATCACTCATTATGAGATGGTCACTTGTCGCCACCTAGTGGCATAACAATGTAACCTGCAAAAAGAATCATTGAAAATCCACCAGCGCAGACTGGCACAAACACAGACAATTAGCTCAGCCAATCAAATTCAAGGACAGGAACTGTGTTGGATAAATGATAAATGTGCCCCACAGAACAACTGAGACATAATAATTGTGTAGCCTAGTTTCTGAATCCTCAAATACACAGTCAAAGTTGAACTAGGATACCTGGCGCGTATGTATTGGATTCGTGGACAATGATAAAGTACGTTTCCATTGGTCTGAAAGCAGAGACTGTGTGTCTTTGTCACAGGAGAGACCACCGTGCGAGAGACTGAATCCAAGAAACAGGGTTCAACCAGCCATGCATACTAAACACATGCTGGAGCTTTACAGTCTGCTCCTGTCCCAGCATGACTTACTCTCTCTCTCTCGCTCTGCGATATTTCAAGTGTCCTGCACTCGAGGCGACTGGTTAAGACGCAATTTAAAACACAGTTTCTGTGGATCGCTCAATAGTGCTGTATTGGATGATTACCTCGCTTAAGAAAAACTGTAAAACAGTGGATAATCACAGCATGTTGCTGCATTTTTCTGATGTCATTGATTGATTTCTAATGTAATGATGACTGAAAGGTTGGTTACTAATGTTTTCTTTGGTGGGAGACACAAGAGCTTGTAACACTCTAAAGAGAAAGGAAAAAATGAAATCGCATCATATGACCCCTTTAAAGAAACAAAGAAATCAATACATGAAGGAATAAATAAATAAACAAAGAAATCACCAGTAATGACTGAATTGCTATTACTTCAGTTTTAATAAATAAATAAAGACTAAACAAATTAATCATATTAAAAAATAATAATAATAATAAAGTCGCCAGAATGACTTAATTGCCATTATTTTGTTGTGTAAATAAAACAAATTACTAAACAAACAAACAAATAAATAAACGAAACTAAGAAATAAAAAAATAATTAAAAAAGATTAATAATAATTTATTTTAAATAAAGTCACCAGTAATGACTTAATTGCAATTATTTCAGTGTGCTAATAAAAAAATATATATAAAATAATAAAAACCGAAGGAAAGATGACTAAAACAAACAAATAAACAAACAAGTATAAATAAATAAATAAATAAATAAATATTTTAAAATAAAGTTAGCAGATGACGTATTTATGACTTAATTGCCATTTTTGGTGAATAAATAAAAAATAAAATAAAAATGTCATTATTTCAGTGTGTAAATAAATAAATAAATACTTGTTTTTATAAAGTCACCAGTAATTACTTAATTGCCAATATTTGTGGTAAATAAAAATAAAAATAAAAAAATAAAAATGAAAGACTAAACAAATACAAAACATTTTTAAATAGAGTCATTAATGACTATCATCAATATGTCAGTGTTAAACAAACAAACAAACAAATAAATAATAAAGAAGATGAGAAATTTT